GAGAGAGATTGAAAGCCACTGTAGATCGGGCTGAGCAAGGACTCCCTCGTTGGCTCCCCATGGGGTCCTGGTGCACTTCATTCAAGTTCGTAACTTCTGCCTCTGTACAGCCTAGCAAATAGCACCCATTCCCAAATACCCAGGAGGTTGTGATGGTGAAAAGGGGGTGCAGGTGTTGGGCTTGGCACAGAATGCGTGCCCGATACATGGTAGCTGTTCCTACATGCTGTTAGCGTGGTTGATGTTTTCTGCGACAGTGAACTATCCCCACAAGTGAGCAGCCCCGGGAAGTCAAAGTCTGTTCGTCTTTCCGACCCATCGACTCAGCCTCGCTCTGGATGGAACTTTCGCTCCTTCGGGGAAGGTATATCTTACATAGCACTTTCCTACCAACTTCCTCCTATAACCTGCCCTTCAGCCAGAACTTTTGCAATTTATGCTCTTCCCCAGCAACCTATAATATTCACTCCGGAAGCATCCCCACTTTTCTTTTTCTTTTCTTTTTTAAAGTATTTATTGATTTGAGGTAGAGAGAGAGAGGGAAGCATTGATTTGTTGTTCTACATACTTATACATCATTGGTTGATTCCTGTATGTGCCCTAACCGGGCATCAAACATGCAACCTTGGCCTATAGGGATGACGCTCTAACCAACTGAGCTACCCGGCCAGGGCTCTGTCTCTCCCCCTCCAACCCCCACTCTGACCTCCCCTTACCCACAGATGCCATGAGGCACACTGAGTGCTCACATGGGACAGCCATGGCCTGAGCAATCTGCAAATACAAGGGAACCTGTGCCTCTCTACAAAGCATCCATATTGTTAATGCTTCCCAGAATCAGCTTAGATACATAATGTCGCCCTGGCTGGTTTGGCTCAGTGGATAGAGCTTGGGCCTGTGGACCAAAGGGTCCTGGGTTCAATTCTGGTCAAGGGCATGTACCTCGGTTGCAGACTTCTCCCCAGCCCAGGTCCTGGTCAGGACCCGTGCAGGAGGCAACCAATCAATGTGTTTCTCTCACATTGATATTTCTCTCTGTCTTTCCCTCTCTCTTCCACTCTCTCTAAAGTCAATGGAAACCCTAGCTGGTTTAGCTCAGTGGATAGAGTATCGGCCTGAAGACTGAAGGATCCTAGGTTGAATTCCAGTCAAGGGCACGTGCCCAGGTTGCAGCCTCAATCCCCAGGAGGGGGTATACAGGAGGCAGCTGATGAATGATTCTCATCATTGCTGTTTTTATCTCTCTCTCCCTCTCCCTTCCTCTCTGAAATTAATAAAAATATTTTTTTAAAAGAAATAAAATAAAATCAATGGAAAAATATCCTTGGGTGAGAAATAAAAATAAAATAAAGCCCTTGCTTCTGAGCCAGGAAAGCAGGCACTAGTGGTTGGAGTTATAGTTTTCACCTCGGTGATGAGAGCTGT